AAAAGTATGTTGTAAAATGTACTATATATATATATATATATATATATATATAATAATAATAATGTACGTACCTCGCCATATTAATGACCGATCATCGAGATCTCGTTTTTATTAATTACATTCGACGTTACTTTTTTTCAGTTTTCTTTTGTTTTTTACAAATACGTACGTATATCTAGCTAATGGTTTAGTTAACGGGAAAAAAATGTGTCTTGCAATTGCCATGTACATATTGACGGCTACATTCGGAGTACTTGTCAAGTTAATCGCGGTAATTGGCATATTTTTCTTAAATCTTCTTGGAAGAATCATTTACTTTGCATACTCGCTTTTTCATACGCTAACTGCAACTGAATCGACCCGAGTCGAATCCACCGACGACATCTGATTACGATGGAGATAATTTCACTTCTAAAAAAGAATAACCAAAAATTTCTCGTTCCCTTCCTGTGACTGATAATTCCTTCCGTGATTCCTTCCCGACGTAAAACAATCGACGTGTAATTATATAATTCGCACGAAGAACGATCAACGATAACGAATGGATGTCGAGAATCAAGTTCAAGAGACAGACCAATAACGAATATCAAAGTTTTATTAGTAAATAGTTTTATTAATAAAAAATGAAATATGACTATAAACGATCGCAAGACTTTTCTTTATATGCTTTTTAATTTTTTACGTTCAAGCAAGAACGCGCAAGTCAGCGGTGAGATGTACTTTTTCCTCCTTTTAAAAGCTCCTTTTAAATTTCTCGTGATTTTGGACGGAATTTCAATGTTATTGGACGGATTAGTGGACGGTTAGCTTATATACATTACGTTTTGCGCCATGCGCAATGTCGTAACACGTGCGTCGCGATACGACTTCTTCGTCTTAACGCAACGCGTTCGTATCGTTAATTTATCGTTATCCGTGTTAAATGAAACAAGAACGACGTCGTTGCAATTTGATGCAAACGTCAAAATTGTTCCGTCTTAATTCGTTGGTAGTGCCGACACCGCGCTATGTGGTGTTGTTGGGCGAGAACCAGCGATGGATTGCGTGGTAGATGCATTTAACGACTGCATAGTCCCGATCTGAAACAAACAACGTTGTCGATCAATGGTCTAGTTGCGAAAGTTAAAAATGACGAAAAAGGATCGACCAAAAAACGAATACGACGAGTTGAGAAACAATGTCTCTTTTTCGGACAACTTACTCTTAAATGAGCCAAATCTTCCAATCTCGTAAGATCGCATAATTCTACGTACAAAGAGTACACTATTAACCATCCGTAAATGGAGAAACAAACAAACGTCATCCACAAGATGCACATTGTAACGTTATAAGCAAATATCATGTCGTTTACTATACTAAAGAAGATGAAAGCAAAAAATCTGAAAACAATGAACGCTGCAAAACTGTAGAGCCATGGTACCATCTTCTTCTCGTATTCTTTTCTTAAAGCAGCTATCAATATCAGGGACGTTGCCAGCACTATTACTCCTCCGAGCATAGAGAACAAAGCGAAAACGACGAGAGCGTTACGTACTGAAATCAAACGTCGATACGACAATGATTTATCGCATTCCTTCTGTTTCCTCTTTATTTATTTCTCATCTGAACTCGCAGAACCAGTTTCAATAACCTCAAATTTCAATAACCTACGTACTCACCGTGCCGATTACCCACGTAAACAAATTCATACGATATTATGTAATAGCCGTAATGGGTCGAGCCCGGTGCAGCTTCGTAAAGACAATAAAGATCAAATATTGACGTGCATATGGTGAAAGTGGCTAAACACTGAAAGAAAACATCTTTCATCTTTCCATGTAAATTCTGTATGTACCACTGTGATCAACTGTATATATTTACCAGTGCAAATATAGCTGTAAGCATGGCGCCTCTTTGAATATTGAGTAAATACGAATGCGATAAAATTGGTTTTTGATACCAACGTGTTTTAACGCTACGCGTTGATCGTGAAGATTTTAAATTTGCACTGCTACGCGTTGTAACGTGCGAATACACCGATGGTGTACCCATGCTGGGAGATTTTTTCCCGTAATTCATTTTACAGATACGTCAGTTTTTCAATCGCTGTGTCAACTGTACTTCTTACAAACACCTGGAATTACGATGTATTTTGCAATTGCACTCCCTGTGCTTATACTGTATACGTTACTGTTAAAGGTTAGTTTGTAAATATTACTTCCACTGTTTCCTATGATCACGTTTGTTTCTCACTACGATATTGCGACGATACATATCAACTTTTTCCAACGATAGTTTAGTATTATAATTTTGTTAAATTATAATTTCAGTCGATCAAGTGGTAAACGTAAACGTGAAATCACACCATCGTTAACGATCGTCGTCCGTTAGAAGCCGACGCCCGAAGCGTCAAATCAACCTAACCGAAGAGCGACGACAAAAGTCGAAGAGATCCGAACTGATTTTAATACGATTGTACAATTATATAACTCGTGATATTTTCATATGATTATAAGTTATAACTCGCAATAAAGATAAAACAGACACAATATCTTATGGAACTTTGTGTCTTGCGACGTCTTTGACAATCCTAATCTCTAAAGATCAGAGTTTTTTACGCGATTTCTGTGACACACTATGGCGAATGTAAGGTTCTATTC